GAATTCTGTCAAGTTAGACAAATAATCTAAATTTTAAATATCATAGGATTACACTCTAAGGAAGGTATATAGGGATTGGAAAATTTGAGTTTGTGACAAAAACTCAATTTTCTTGTTTTCTTTTTCTTTTTTCTTCTCCAGTTTTCATTTTCTTCTTCTTTCTTCTTTTTTCATCATTTTCATCTTCTTTACCATTTTTTTCTTTGTTCCTTTTTTCTCTCCTTTCTCTTTCCCCTTTTCTCACCGTTCTCTTTTTTTCCTCTTTTTCTTTTTTGAATCCTTTTACTCTTTACTATTACAAGGATCAGTAATAACCTTCTTTATTTTCTTACTAACGGTTAAAATATATATATAAAATTTTAACTTTACATAAACAGCTTGTATGGAGTATCTCTTTCGGTAGTAAAATTANTCTCTTAACCTTGATTAGGTGAAGGTTGAGCTTGTGCTTCATTAAACACTATTTAGTCATAAATGTGCATTACCTTTTTCCATGTGTTTATATATAAATAAAGTCAAAAACTTCAAATTTTGCGTCTTTTTCTCAAAAGTCGCGCAAATGCGTATTACGCAATACTTTAAAAGATACCAAAACATTTTCTATATTTTAAGCGGTTTTATAAATTAAATTATTCAGGAAGAAAAACGGCTGCCGACGTTAAGAGCCCACACATTGAAACTGTTTTGGATGAAATTGAAAGGATATAAGAGCAATCAAACCAATCCCACTAAATTAGAACATTTAATAGGACTCACCACAATCAGGCTTATAGCCCGGAGAAGGAACAGTAGCTCATGCAATATTGCAAAATATTTAAAAACCAACACTTGTACACCGAATCTCCCTTTATCTTTGCAACCTGAATCAGATATTTCAAACTATGTATTCAGTTATTTAAAGTTTAAAAGGTTGCAAAGATATGGGTATTAGAAAATTTGAGTGTGTGGCAAAGACTCAATTCCTTTCAAAGATGATGTCAAGAAGGGAAAGAGAAGTTATTTAAAAACATTTTTTTGTCGAAATTTTTAGTTCGCTAAAATTTGATAGATAAGTTGTTTGCAAGTCATTTTTCTTTTGTAATTTTATAAATAAACCTGAGGTCAAAATGTTTGTATTTGGAATCTCAGGATTTTTGTATTTGAAATCTCAGGACTTTTATATTCGGATCCGTATTTTGTGCAGTCCTCTATGGTCAGATATTCCGTGGCAATGATAACTAAAATTAAATGATTAAACAGCAAGTATCCTTCCAATTTTAAAGTTGACATCGTGGATATAGAGATCAAGTGTTGCAGATTAGCATTTTCTTACTCCAAAGTTTCGACCTATAAATAGGTTTCAATAATAGAGTGTAGAGGGCAACACAGGACTAAAAATGACTATACAATATTTCACAGGACTAAACAACCCTAACATAGACTACAGTGTACTAAAACTGTTGAATAGAAAGGACCATTTGCTTCGGAATCAAATATGAAAAAGTTTTTTCAAAAATAGTACTTCAATTTTACAGTTATATGGCCGGGCTTCTAAGTTCGCACATGTTAAAAGTGGTTCTTTTATATTTTTTTTTGTTAAAAGATGCTTCTCATAATTTCTGTAATATTGAATCGTACATGTTTTTTGTAACCGTATTTACTGCGGGGATGTTTGTTTCTATGAATTGCAAAGTTAGATTTGTTTGTAGAAAATATAGTTATTAACTAATTGCGTGATAAAGAATTTTTTGTGTAAACAATATAATTGTATTTGTATGGATTACAAGGTTTTATACTTTTAATCCAATCCAGTCTAGAATACAATACTAGATTTTAATTCTAGAAAAAATGCTGGAGTTAAATTCTAGTATAACTTCTAGAGTTGAATTCTAGAATACAATTCTAGAGTTGAATTCTAGAATACAATTCTAGAGTTGAATTCTAGAATACAATTCTAGAATTGAATTTTATAAAATTAAATTATAGAGTTGAATTCTAAATACATTTCTAGAATTGAATGCTGAGTAGAATTCTAGAGTTGATTACTAAGTAGAATTCTAGAATACAATTTTAGATTACTGACTTGAGTAGAATTCTAGAGTTGAATACTAAGTATATTTCAAGAGTTGAATCCTAGAATACAATTCTAGAGTTGATTACTGAGTAGAATTCTAGAGATGAATTCTAGAATACAATTCTAGAGTTGATTACTGAGTATAATTCTAGAGTTGAATCCTAGAATAGAATTCTAGAGTTGAATTCTGTTGGTTTATTCCTCTCAAAATATTTTAATTTCTGTTGGTTTATTCCTCTCAAAATATTTTAATTTCTGTTGGTTTATTCCTCTCAAAATGACTGTTCACATATCAACGTTTTGTACAATTTCACCCAATCCCCCAGAAAGGTGAATAAAATAAAATCCTCGCTCATGGGAAACTTGTTCCTTTTGTAGTTGATAAAGATTCAATTTTCTCAAATCATCCCGAGCCAGGGGCGGAGATTTCAGCCGGGATAGCATAGTCATTAACACGACTGAATTTAAATTTCAGACGACCATTTTTATTTCTTCTAAATAATATCCATTTTTTCAATCCCATTTTGATTTTTCATAATTTTTTTTTCATGACCATCTCGAATTCGTGAAAAAGACGACATTTTTAATCTTTTTTCTCCACTACTGAGCTTCGACATATCTTGGTACGGTGTGAAGTGACAATAGATTTTGCCAAATTATCGATATCAGGGTGTTTTATTATCATCTCATCATGCGCTTAGATTGGATTCAATCCTCACGATTTAAACTTGGAATTCTCGCCCACTCCCCCTCCCCTCAATCAGCTACTCCCCCCCTTCCTTGCTTTAACCACCCCACTAGTCTCACCCCCTTTAATCATAAAACCCCCCCCTCCCTCTTCCAACCCCCCTATCTCCCCCTCTTCCCATATCACCACACACCCTCCCATCGTTTAGCTCCCCCTCCCCCCTCACCGCCACACCATCCTCCTCTATATCCCCCCACCCTCCCTAGCAGCCACCACTGTTGACAAGGGCTGCCCTCTTTTAACAGAATTCTTAGTATGAAATATCGAAGGTTTACGACGTTGGGTTGCAAAAATACAGGGATAAGAAAATCATAGTTTGTGGCTTTGACTCAATTAATTTTTTGCCATTTTAAATCCCTTTCCATCTTTATTTTTATCATTTTAGATTCGTCGAATTCAGATTTTTGTCCACTCCGTATATTTTCCTTATCCTATCCCTTCACCCCAGTTTATACAACCTTGTATAATCTGCCATCCTTAACCTTAAACTAAAATCTTTCTCTCCCCCCCCCCCTCCTCTATTTATCAGATAATTAAAGGGTTAAGTATGTTAGTTTAAGGCTGAACTAAAATCTTGAATTCAAGGTACAGAATGTTTTGAGAGGTTGAATCGAATACTTAGAAACGATGATTTGATAAAAAGTGAGAAATATAATGATCCAATAGGGCCGGGCTAGTGCATTGACCCAACCTAAACTTCTCTAAATATAATATTTTAAATGGAAATAAATTCCACCCAGCGCAGACATATAGTTTATATACACTATATTAGGGGAGTCAAATAAACCTAAGATATTGCAATCTAAAAACCAAATAAACTCTTTCTTTTTAGTTGCCTAGCTTGTATGCCTCAAAAATAACGAGGCATGGTTGAACCGCGTAGATATTGTTCAACCACTTCTCTTCAATTTGAACTGGTACTGAACTACGTCTGCGCGGTTCAGCTACAGGGTGTCCCACGAAACATGCCAGTAGTAAGAAGCCTTGAAGGTTATCTTTGAAATAATTTGTTAACCTAATTTTAGAATTAGAATTCTAGAGTTAATAATCACAAAATACCCTAGTCTTCGTATTTCCAAAATGTGGTCTGTCTTTTTGGTGCTCAGATTTCGATAATTTTGTTTCTATTTAACAAAATTGAAATCCGAGCGAAATTCTTATTATCTCTGGTAATATTGACAGCACAAAAAGACAGTGTTTCGCGCCAGTCACCCCTGACGCTGAGTTTATTGTAATGCCCCTGGAAGCTGCCTGTACTGTGAGCGTACTTCACAGAGGAGACCGGTCTTTTGTTTATGTTGTGAAAACTAGGCCCGGCCGGTTCTGTACTCTCAGTCATAGTTCTCTGTTCAAGCTTTTAGCATGTATATACGTTATTTTCGCCTGTTGGAAGTTTAAGGAGAGATCTAGGTGGAAGAGTGGGTTGACTCCTTTGCCTAGCTGGAAAAGGAAGTTCTCTCAGAAACGGTCTGGTTCAGTTTCTAATGGGAAAGGAGCTGGCCAACCTAAGGAGAAGAAGGTGAAGCTTGCTGAAGAGGAATCTGTCCTTGTCCCTGTGCAGATTGTCTTAGATTCGTCTAAGGTCAATAGTGCAGTTAGGGCTGAGGATAGTGTTGCTAGCTCTGTGGGCGTGTTAGAGATGATCTCTAAGTCGGTTCAGACAGATGAGATTACAGGGGCTGGAAGGAGTAGGGATCTGTCCAAGAAGAAGGTTGGAGGATTCCGGAGTCGGAGCAGGTCAAAGAGAGGAGATGAGCGGAAGATCAAGTTTCCTCCGATTGGATCTGGGAAGGTTCGAGTTCCTGGTTCTGGAGACGTTAAGAAGGTTGAGAAGAAGAGTTATGAACCTGGTTCTATTGATGATCTTATTGCCAAGGATAGTATGGAGGTGATTGATGAGGCTGGAGATGAGATTGGTGATGTTGGACGGGTGGTTGATGTTGAGGCTTCCATTGATTCCTGTCCTATACTCACTACACGTCGGAGAGAGAGGTCTAGTTCTAGATCTAGGGTTTTAGCTGTACCTAGAGTTCTGACTTATGATGAGAGAATTGAAGCTGAGAACAGGTTCCTGGAAGAAGATGAGTTTGAGTTTGAACTCAACCCTAAAGAGAGTAAATTTTAAACGGAACAAGTGCCAGTTCATTATTGTTGAAATACATTTTTTATGAAATTTTTTTTTGAGCTTTATTGTGTGTATTGATTAGGGATCATGGTTGATCTTTAAGCTTACAACTTCAGTTGGTTCTCCTTAGTGAGAAGGTTGAGATGTTAGTCCTTGGGTTGCCTGAGTGATGGGTTGGTTCTCTTTTTCTTTTTTCCCGGGCCCCAGTGTTTCGCGCCAGTCACCCCTGACGCTGAGTTTATTGTAATGCCCCTGGAAGCTGCCTGTACTGTGAGCGTACTTCACAGAGGAGACCGGTCTTTTGTTTATGTTGTGAAAACTAGGCCCGGCCGGTTCTGTACTCTCAGTCATAGTTCTCTGTTCAAGCTTTTAGCATGTATATACGTTATTTTCGCCTGTAAATTTCCGCGTGGTAAAAATGAATTGATTGAGTGAACGTATGTATTTTTCAGAAGAATAACGGTTTAGACTTGAGATTTTGATATTTTTTGCTGTCTTTTGCTTGTGAGAGGAACGTAGAGGTATGTACAGAACCGGGGTCAAACATTTTGTGATTTTATAAAAATGATGGTTTATGATATTCATAGCCTACTATATTTTAGTCATATACATTTATTCTTGATAAAGTAGTGGAACTGATAAGTTTAAATTTTCTTGTATTTTAAATTTAAAGAAAATTGACTAGCTTAAAGTAAAATAACGTTTTCTGGAATTGATTAGATATTTCTTTTTAAGATTCAACCATCCAGTTCAACTTCCATCATTCCAGAAATATGGTTGGAAAGGGGAAGGGTTCGACTCACTCACGCAAGCCTAGGACTAGGTAAATGCTTTACCATTGCTTTATGAACTGTAGAGTACTCTCTGTAGAGTAGCTTTACATTCAATAGCTTTACATAAATGTTTCTAGTTCCACGAAGTATACTTACTGAGTTTGAGCGCAAAGTCGATGTTTAAAAACATAAATTTGGGTGGGTACGTTTTCAGAATCGTTTTTTTAATTATTAAATAACTACTACAAAAAAATAGTAAAAATTCCATAGTAAACTAATTATGCTTATAATTTATTTTTCAAAAATTTAGTTTGTAAATTGATAATAAAAAAGTCCCTTAGTTTTTCACCTTAGTTGTTAATATAATGTTACACTTGAAAAATTTGAAGACTTGTTTATAGTTTTCCATTTCATTTTCATCTTCAATAACAAGCTGTTGATTAGATACTGGGTTAACAATCGAATCAATCCTAAAAAGTGTTAATAAATTGCATTTTAGGTGTTAATGATAAATCAGTTTTCAGGATAGGAATTTGAGTAGATTTAGCGCAAAGATCTTATTTTAACAAAAGAAATGAAATACAAATTGAGAAAACGAACTACTGAAGTCCGTTCCAGCTTTTATACAGGGTTACTAAGAAACGATGAGACTTCTTTCACTACCTATAATAACCAAAAAAGGTTAAAGGAAATGAGTTTTTGCCAAACACCCAAACTTTCTAATCTCTATATCTTTGAAACTTGATGATGTAAACCTTTGATATTTCAAACTTAGACTAATTTAATCTACCAGAATTTTTCGAAGGTATGCTACATCGGGTTACAGATAGAGATAAGAAAATCAGAGTGGTAAGACCTCAGTTCCGTTGGGGTTTAAAACAACCCATCTATTGAACCACCTGATGTAAAACATGAATGAATAAATTTTGTGCGTTCGTACCTAAATGCTTTCTCATGCTTTGTGGGTAACCCTGTTTTTATATTGTTTAGATAACGGAGTCCATATGATTATCTTATGTAGTTGATCATTTGCTAAATTTAAAAACAAACCCAATATAAACATGAAGGCAAGTTCCCACATTCTCATTTCTCCTTTATCAATAAATCACATAATATATATTACAATGATTTAAATACAATTATGAATTGTAATTTGTAATTGACGAATTCAAGGTCGTTTTTGTTTTCCTTTAAAACATCATAACATAATAACGTCTGCTAGAGTTTACTTTATGAAAACGATAAATGGCTGCAAGATGAACAGTGAAGACGGACAAGTTTACATTTGTTTTAGTTAGTAAACCAGTATGTGCAATTATATCAGAAACCATTTCAAAATCAACACAAATTGTTTTTATTCACAGTTTTTATTTTTTTATATGTAAATTTTTCCTGATAAACCATTGTATTATATTCCGACTATTCTGCTCATGTTTTGCACAATCAGCTAATACAGCTCCTAGGTTCATCTTCAAACAGAATAACAGAAAGATCAGAAAATATGAATATTTCATTTTCAATCTGGAATATTTAGATATCTTAAATACATTTCTAAATGTTTTTCCTATTTCACCTCTGAAATAAATTTTGCGTCGAAGGATTATCCACTTGCGTGAAGATCTATGCAAAGCCTAGGATCCTAGACTCAGCCAATGATAAAACCTTTGATATTTCAAACGTAGAATACTTGATCCAACAGAATTCATATCTTGAAATATCAAAGGACTACAACATTGGGTTGCAAAGATTAAGGGGTTAAAAAATCAGAGTTTTTGACAAAGACTCAATTCTTTCAAACAAATTAAGCAACTAATCACAAGCTTTTTTTCTATTCCCTATATTTTTGTAACCTAATGAACGGTGCAAACCTTTAATATTTAAAACAATAACTCTTTTAACAGAATTAATAGTATGAAATATCAAAGGTATAAACATGAAAAGATAGAAAATCATACATAATGAGAAGTATTTTAACTAGATATGATCAGTTAAACTACTAGTGTCCTAGTGTGCTCATCACTCTTGTAAAAGAATTCAACTTTTAAAATAATGTTGTTATTCAAAATAAGTTAATTTAGCTCAAGCTTAAACTTCAAAATATTGTGAATATTTGTAAACAATGGATTTATCTACTGAGCAGTTTGAGGTTTAACAAGTAAATGGTTTCTTTTCGTAAAATCTAATCTTTTATTAACTTGAAATGGAGGATCCGCGATTCTGTAGTTTTGCCGGCTAAAAAATCTAATTTTTGACACCATCACAATTATAAACTTTTACTCTTAAGAAATAGTATTTTTAAGGAATTTTTGCAATTTTTTTATTAATAAGGGCACAGAACGGTAAAACGGCCGGTAGAAAAACTACATTCATAAAAAGCGCTTAAAGAATAGATGCAAAAATAATTGATAAAAAAGTTATTATATGTCAAAAACAAACATCTATATTTTTATTTTATTTTAGACGTAGATTCTGGGGCACCCTACACAGAATGGATTCTGGGACACCCTACACAATATGTATTCTGGGACACCCTACACAACATGTTTACATGGACACCCAATATCATGAATTCTCAGACACCCTAAACAACATGTATTATGGGACACCCTGCACACCATGTATACTGGGACACCCTATATAACATGTATTCTGAGACACCCTAAACAACATGTATTCTGAGAAACTCTACACAACATGTATACTGGGACACCCTATATAACATGTATTCTGAGACACCCTAAAAAACATGTATTCTGGAAACCCTACACAACATGTATACTGGAACACCCTACACATCATGTATTCTGGGACACCCTAAACAACATGTTTCTGGGACACTCTACACAAGATGGATTCTGGGACACCCTACACAGCATGTATACTGGGATACCCTATATACCATGCATTCTGGGACACCCTAAACAACATGTATTCTGGGAAACCCTACCCAACATGTATACTGGGACACCCTACACAACATGTATTCTGGGAAACCCTACCCAACATGTATACTGGGACACCCTACGCAACATATATTCTGGGACACCCTAAACAACATGTTTCTGGGACACCCTAAACAACATGTTTCTGTGACACTCTATACAACATGTATTCTGGGACATCCTTCACGACATGTATTCTGGGACATCCTTCACGACATGTATTCTGGGACACCCTATATAACATGTATTCTGGGACACCCTACACAACATGGATTCTGGGACACCCTACACAACATGTATTCTGGAACACCCTATATAGCATGTATTCTGGGACACCCTAAACAATATGTATTCTGTGAAACCCTACACGAAATATAATCTGGGACACCCTACACAAAATACGATGCAATTTAAAAATCTGATTAAATAATGTTCATCACTTTGCACGCAATACAACAAATCTAAACAATTTGAAAAAAATATTTTTTTAATATTTTTTTTAATTGAATCAACTTTTCCCATATTGGCTATTATTTTACTTTGATTAAAAAAGGGTTCCTACACAAATAACATAGTAACACCGTTTTTAGAAAAACGACTTTAACTTATTTCAGTGTCTTAATTACTTAAATGGAGTGACCAGCAATTGGGTTTGGGCATCGAATGGGTTATTTAAAAACTATAGTTTTTTTGTTCTCTTTGTCTTTAAATGAAAGGAATAGTTAGAACTAATTTAGTGTTTACTTGGATATGTTAGATTGTGTGAATTTGGCTAATGAAGAAATTGCCATCTGATAACATTATCATATCTGAATTCTGATTCTTCAAAAAAAAAAAAAAAACATCTATGAGAGAACTTCCTAAAGTATAGGGGATTGCTCCCTGTGTTCCTTCATTTCATACTTTTTCCAAGTTAGGGGAATCAAGGAAAACCCATAACTGCACCCCTTATGCAAAATGGAGAGTTTTGAGCCCTGAAAGCTCTCTTGAGAGTAATCTTCCATAGCAGTCCAGTCCTCACATCTGGTCGAGTAAAAAACCAGTTTTGTTGTGCCTGGCTGTATATCCACAAGTGTTTAAAATTATCTGGATGATATGATATGTGGGTGATATTTGGATGATATGTGGGTGATATCTGGATGATATCACCCACATATCATCTAGATATCACCAATCCAATCCAGCATTGTTCTTCACATATTCACCTTATCATTATTCTTCCATCTGTAATAATCTAAATTAACACTCATACATACATACAGCACACATCTTGAACAATTATATATTTAATATATGTTATACTGTATTCACTTACCATTATACCTGTTATAAGACTGTCTAAATGGAACTTATATTTATCAAAAAATCAAGAATTTACTGACATTGATTCTAATGAAAACATCAATTTACTTCAAAATGATAAAAATTTTGAAACATTGTATCTCCCAAAATAGTTGCATAAAATTTATTACATATAAATTCTTATAAAAAATCATCAAATATTATTAAATTCTCACTTAAAAATGCATTTTTGTGCAGTTGAGGTTTCAAGAATATATTGACACAGAAACAGGTATTCAAAAAGTCGAGTTTAAGTCGAATTTATGCACCAAGATTTTACCCGGTTGGTGACTGGAGTTCAAGTGTGAAGTTTAAGCCAAGTTAAAGTAGAGTTTTGAAGTGGAGAAAACTGGGATTTAAAAAGTTGAGTTTAAGTTGAGTTTTTCACTCAGATTTCACCCAGTTGGTAACTGGAATTCAAAAGTGGAGTTAAAGTCGAGTTTAAGTGGACTTTTGAAGTGGCGTTTAGGACATCTAGTTAACATCTAGTTGTATCCTCCAGTTCTGTTTCCTGGGTTTCTATAGTAGTTTCTCTACACAAAATTTACTTATGTGCATTTTTACTGCAGGAAAACATACTGTAATTATCAGAACTAAACTGGAAAAAGGACTATTCTTCCACATTTTAATCAGATAATGGGTCACTTCACTCACTCAAAATTACTCCTGCAGTCTCTTTGATAGTACACAATAGTGAACATAAATTTGTGTAAATCAAAGATTAATAACAATACAAATAAAAGATTTAGGGGTTTTTCGTTCACAAT